ATAGACATTTTTAAATAAACATTTAAACACTCACTTTAACATGTATTTCACGTACAGATCAGTATCGGGACGAATAGTAGGCTCTGTTTGGTGGTTCTTCACACTAATCGTATGATTGATTTTTATTTGCTTTCTTTCTAAATGTTCTGCCATTAGATTGCTTTTGTCGGGCTTTTAAAATGTGAAATAAAATGAAATTATAGATAATATCTTCATATACGGCTAATTTGGCCGCTTTTCTCACTGTCGAGCGTATGGTTACGCCAATCAATTCAGCCGATGATCTCTCTAAACAAACCGAAGTGGAGTACGGGTGCGAACACTCTTATAAACATTATATTTACATAAAAAATTCATTGCATTTGTTATACAATATCATAGCATAAATAATTCAAGCGACAAAATGAATCCAATTATAAAAAGCGATTCTTTAAGTTTTACATAAAGTCTTATTAATATTTAATAGTATTATAATCCATATGTTTAGAAAAAGTTATCTATAATAAAGTTATTTATAAATATTATATTGTTTTAATTAGTGTTTTGCGATATTCATCTACAATGGAGTTCTTTAGAGTAAGTTTAGAGTTGATCTTATATAATATATTGACTATTGGTTTGTGTAAATGTTTTGTAAATTATAATATAATTATAATAGAAATCCAAAATAACTGTTTACTCACGAATGTGGGAATTCATGAGCGCTAAGCCTAACGTCTTCGTAGACTCTTATAAGGAGGGCATCAGAAGAGTGAGGGAATCAAAGGGCAAATATGCCTTTCTTATAGGTTTGCCATTTGTTTTCTTAATTATCTCTTCATTTGTTTCTTATGATAATTGAATAATTGTCAGAATCGACACAAAATGATTATATTAATGAACGCCAACCGTGCGATACCATGAAAGTAGGCCGTAATTTAGGTAATATTTCTATCAATTAGTTACTAATTGATAGAAATATTACCTAAATTACGGCCTACTTTCATGGTATCGCACGGTTGGCGTTCATTAATATAATCATTTTGTGTCGATTCTGACAATTATTCAATTATCATAAGAAACAAATGAAGTGATAATTAAGAAAACAAATGGCAAACCTATAAGAAAGGCATATTTGCCCTTTGATTCCCTCACTCTTCTGATGCCCTCTTTATAAGAGTCTACGAAGACGTTAGGCTTAGCGCTCATGAATTCCCACATTCGTGAGTAAACAGTTATTTTGGATTTCTATTCATGTAATTATAATTATATTATAATATACCAAACATTTACACAAACCAATAGTCAATATATTATATAAGATTAACTCTAAACTTACTCTAAAGAACTCCATTGTAGATGAATATCGCAAAACACTAATTAAAAAAATAAAATATTTATAAATAACTTTATTATAGATAACTTTTTCTAAACATATGGATTATAATATTAAATATTAATAAGACTTTATGTAAAACTTAAAGAATCGCTTTTTATAATTGGATTCATTTTGTCGCTTGAATTATTTATGCTATGATATTGTATAACAAATGTAATGCATTTATACAAATATAATGTTTATAAGAGTGTTCGCACCCGTACTCCACTTCGGTTTGTTTAGAGAGATCATCGGCTGAATTGATTGGCGTAACCATACGCTCAACAGTGAGAAAAGCGGCCAAATTAGCCGTATATGAAGATATTATCTATAATTTCATTTTAGTTCACATTTTAAAAGCCCGACAAAAGCAATATAATGACAGAACATTTAGAAAGAAAGCCTTATTTTTAGTTAGTATGCTAATCACACTTCTTGGTGGTTTGTCTCGGATGATAAGCAGGGCTATGACTAGACATGCACTTTATGTACAATTTCACTCACAAATTTACAAATAAATTTTTACAGATATAATATTGAGTGGATTTATAGTTAATTGTATGAAAAGATTTCCAATAATTTGTAAGCATTAGTATTTGAGACTACTTTTGAATTTTCTCCAGAAATCGATTCGTAGCGAAGACAGTGATTACATCCCGGGAAGACTGGGCTTTGCGCCAAACGTAGACTTTTGCTTATCTCTATTCTCTCTCTCTCTCTCTCTCTCTCTCTCTCTCTCTCCTTCTTATATACATTTATATATAATTATGACTTTAAGTGTCGTTAAAAATGCTGTTCACTATTCTTTTATTCAAAGAGTTTCTTACGTAAAACACATAACTATGTCTTTTCACTACATTTTACACATCGTTTAACCGATGTTTATAGCGTGTTACAAATGCACAGCAATAGTGATAGAGCTATGCAATGGCTCGTAAATATTGTATTATTTATATATTTACCGGAATATCATTGTATAGAAATATTATTCACTTAAATATTGATATGAAAGTTATGGAAAATTCAAAAAATAATATCTAATGTTAAGGCTATATATAAAATGTATGAAACATTGTGTAGTAAATGTAAAACAAGACTCGTATTAAATATCAATAATATTGATAAAACTCTTATTCAATTTAAGTTTTGAATAAAAAATTGTTCAGTACACAGAAAAAGTCTACATTTTGCACAATAATGGGTTGATAGGTATAACGTGGTAATATATATGATATAAGGTATGCTAATATGCCTACCTGGGACATACATCACAGGATTGCTGCATAATGGCTCCCAGAGAAAACCCTACAAAGTATAACAATGGGGTAAATACTCTGATAATAATTGCATGTTTTTTACTGAAATTCACAGCAATTTTTACGACAAGTGATAAGAAAATAAGTTTCTCAAAGAATGCATTTTGTGTATTGATACAGAAAAGTGATGTAAAATGTGTAGCAAATTGGCTACAAATATCGCACAACAAATGCACAGTAATAGTGATAGAGCTATGCAATGGCTCGTAAATATTGTATTATTTATATATTTACCGGTATATCATTGTATAGAAATATTATTCACTTAAATATTGATATGAAAGTTATGGAAAATTCAAAAAATAATATCTAATGTTAAGGCTATATATAAAATGTATGAAACATTGTGTAGCAAATGTAAAACAAGACTCATATTAAATATCAATAATATTGATAAAACTCTTATTCAATTTAAATTTTGAATAAAAATATTTCAGTACACAGAAAAAGTCTACATTTTGCACAATAATGGGTTGATAGGTATAACGTGGTAATATACATGATATAAGGTATGCTAATATGCCTACCTGGGACATACATCACAGGATTGCTGCATAATGGCTCCCAGAGAAAACCCTACAAAGTATAACAATGGGGTAAATACTCTGATAATAATTGCATGTTTTATATGATGTAAATCTATTAGTAAAATGTTTTACAGAGAGAGTTATTGAGGGAGAAATCATTGGAAACTTTTGGTCCGCAAAGAGTGTCTTCGTATCGCCACTCGTGTGGAGAAAATCTCGAAACTAAGAACAATACAACCGAAACACCGATATATGAGAGTATTATGTAAACCCATATCTCTTGACTCAAAGGGTTCATGAATGAGAAGATTCCCGGATTCTTCTTCACCGGCTTCTTAATCATTATCGAGATTCCCAAAGACATGAATGGCTTCGTAAAGTCAATCACTCTCTCGCGGGCGGATGTTATAGTCAACGGCGCGATCGCAATGTCCGACTCCTAAACCAATTAGTTATTTAATAATTCATTTTAAGCACCACTAAAAGGCTATGCGTTTCAATGACTCGCAAAAACCAATAAAAACAAAAATCATTGAAAATTGTTTCCAAACGGCGCTTACTTTTCTAATGAGTTCTCCAACCATACCATTCCAACCGCTCGGAGACTTGGAGTCCAAACCACCGTATTTTGAATCATTCACTAATCGTAACTCGTAATTGAAATTCACGTTTTTGGCGATAGAATCGGCCAAATCTTTGCAATAACCCTCATATCTATCATTTCCAATGAGAGTAACCCCAGGTTCCGGCACTTTCTCCATCAAATATGGCTCTTCCTATTCATACACACATTATATTCAGTTTAATTCCATAAACTAATGAACTTTTATTGAATATAATCATTATTGTATTGATTATCAATTTAGTCCCGTCTTATCTATACAAAGGACTAAAAATTTCTTAATTAAGAATTGCAGCAAAAAAAATAACTCAATATTACATTATTTTCATTAAATCTAATTAAGAAGTCGTCTGAAACTTCTTGTCGTGAAATCAGGTGTGAATGAGAGACAAGAATTCGAGTTCACTCTTAATTAAGTTTATTTGACACTTGTATGCACTCAAAACACCTCTCGTCTAATGAATGCATTTTGAAATTAGTTTTTCTTTTCATGCGTTAAAATAAGGCATTATTTGTTTTTTGTTGTTTAAAGTTATATAAAACATAAAATGTTTTGTGAATTAAATATTAATAGAGTGTATAAAAATATGATAACATGAAAACTACTCACAAGAATACTGGTCACTATATATGTCTTATTCTCGATGTTGGACTCCTGGAACACTCTGTGATACTTCCCGGGAACCAATTCCATGCCATCGTCTTCAGTCCATTCAGTCGAGTTCACTCTTAATTAAGTTTATTTGACACTTGTATGCACTCAAAACACCTCTCGTCTAATGAATGCATTTTGAAATTAGTTTTTCTTTTCATGCGTTAAAATAAGGCATTATTTGTTTTTTGTTATTTAAAGTTATATAAAACATAAAATGTTTTGTAAATTAAATATTTATACAGTGTATAAAAATATGATATCTATCTTTATATATAAAAATAACATGAAAACTACTCACAAGAATACTGGTCACTATATATGTCTTATTCTCGATGTTGGACTCCTGGAACACTCTGTGATACTTCCCGGGAACCAATTCCATGCCATCGTCTTCAGTCCATTCAGCGATCTTATCATTGAGTTTTGCATTCAATTATTTTACTTTTCAATTGTTGCACTAATTATATCAAAGCAATTACTTTTGCCATTTCGTTGTTAACAGTCATCTCCACGATGTCTATCGAAAAATTCTTACGAAAACCCGTTTCACTGAATGATAAATTTCCGGTCAGTCCTCCTATTTCTGTCTATATATTGAAAAATATTTAAATATTTATAAAATATTTTACATATTATTCTAAAAATAATATGTTCATTGATTAAACCTAATACCTTTCTAAGGAACTTGGTAATTTTGTCACCATGTTCCCAAACATTGTTGGGTGCTTTGCGACAATCGATACCTTTAGTTCCGTTGTTAAAAAACTCGCCTCTTCTGAAATTATTACGAAATATATCCGACTTTTTCTTCAAAAGTCGATTATAAGTGTCTAAAAAGACTTTCGTTCCGTCAAACATGAGAGCGGTGTCGGCCTTAACGTCATTTTCAATACAAATAAAGCGTTAGTTGTAATGAGTATTTATGTCATTGAAAGCGAATAAAAACATAGCGAATGCATGCATTGACTCAAACTGTTTGAGTATACAAATAGCCATTTCTTACGGAGAAGTAATCAGTTCCGGCTCCCGGCCATCGCTCTGAGTCCAGTGTCTTCCAGTTTTTGGAGAATTGTCTGAATTCATAAGTGTTTGTCTGCAGAATCCGAAATCCTGTTATATTAATAGCACCGAACTCTAGCACCTGATTATTCCAGTACTCATCCATTATCTACCGGAGAAAAAAAGTTGTATTTTCCTCATAAAATAGAGAAAGAAAAATATAACAACAAATAGTATTAACTGTTATTTATGTTCGTTTGAAGCCATAAGAGGCTCACACTATGAGAAATACAGGTTCAGGAAAAAAACTCGTGAATGACCTAAACATCTAAAAAGCATCTAAACATAAGCACCGAAAACGAAAACAACAAAATACTATATGTTTTTTTGATTTATAGTTGACTTGACTTTACTTACAAGACTTGTTAGTAGAAAATGAAAGTTTCGTTTTCCCATATAAATGTCTCGCACGTGATCTACAATTATGGTTTTGGCCGTTTCGCTATCGCAGTCTAGTATTACATACTTTCGGGACTGACTGTCCGACAGCTCCAGTGATTGTAGGAAAATGTGAGCGTCTTTTGCATCGTTTATTCGCTTAACGGCTCGTATTTCTAGCGTATAGTTATCGTTAACTATTGAGAATATGTGCTGTAATTTCATTAAACCTATTAATTATTAAATTTTCATTAGTTTTTTCATCCACTTTTACAATACAATTCCAATACATAATAATATACAGTAAATAAGTTTTGTGTTCAAGTTTTGTATGTAATCGTATAATGTATTAATAATAAGTTAAAATTCGTGTATCTTTTATATCCAATTTTTTGACGAATATATTCATGTATTTGAAAATCATGTGTAACGAGAGAAACATGTCTTATAAAACGATTATGGATTTAAACATGTAATTTAAGAAGAAAATTGAAAAATATAAAGCATTATATTTTTATAAAATAACTTAAATACTGTATATTGCAATTTTTAGCTAAACATTAACTTTCATTTTTAATGTAAGATTGTGTCTAAATATATGTCAAATTCAACACCTTTTATACGTTTATGTATTTAAATCAGAATATTCTCCGCTTCTCTGATATTACCGCAAATGAGAGCTATTTCTGCATTCTTTGACTCTTTGTCTTTGAGTTTCTGTATTTTCTGAATGTAAAGCACTTTATCGACGCGATTGACGGCCGCGTACGCCATCTCAGCGATGGGCAGCTGTCGGGCGTGTAATGCCATTCCGGCGAAAGCGGCCCAAAGGGCGCGGATGTCGTAATTGTCTTTCAAAAATTGACACAATTTCATGGCTTCATTCCAGTGCTGTTGCGATGCATATGAATGCAAGAGATTTACAAACGGATTAATCGACGACGAGATGAGCGACCCGTCGGACCGGCGAATACTGAGTCTATTATTGAGAAAACTGATAATTTGCGGACTTTTATCCGTCAAATCTGTGCCGTCTTTCTCGACGACAGCCATCGATAAGAGATCGCTGTCAACGAAGGCCACCGTCGGGTAAATCCAAACACTTAAGCGATTGTTTTCGCGAATTGTGGCCAAAATGTTTGAGTCGTTATTCCAAACAAAGCACTTAACCATTGAAACCAATTTAATGGTCTGAAAGACCGTCGATTGCGCCGAACGGACGAGCGTTAAGTAAATGTCGGCGTTTTTATCACTGAATGCACACATCCTCTCAGTCATTGGTCCGCAATAATTCAGTGCAACGCGAGTGATGTCTAACTTGTGTTTCGTCGCATTTGATCCCTCGTTCATTATTTTGCCGTTTGTTGTGTCGATGAAGTGAATCACTTTCATGTCATTAGCATCTCTCACAGCGATTGAATCAGTGCTTAGGCTTTAAATACAATTATATTAACTAATTTTATAAAT